TGAACATTTTGTAATAATTTATGTAAAAGGGAACAGGGATACAAAGTACTTGGAAAGAGGAAAAAGGTTTTCAGGGTTATTTCCAATCCAATCCTTGTATAGAAAATAATTGAACAGTGAGGAAAGATTTTCACGGTTTTGCAAAGCCTGTGTGAACATTTTTATTATTGAGGAAAGGGAGAGATTTAAGTCATATCTCAAGGGTTAACGGTCTTCATCCCCACTCTAGGGTTTTCCCTCACTTCCTGTCCTGTTGACAGGATAGGAAATGAAAGTAAATGTCTTCAGAAGGCACACAGACATCAAAGAAAGTGTGACAGATCAATGTTTAATCGAAAACTGAAAAGAAAATTTAACTGGGGAGTAAAACATTGAGCTTTGATGCATTTGAATTAGTCGATTTGTTTTTGCAGCCCTAAGTCGATTATAATCGATGATTGAAAAAGTTGTCAACGTTTTCGATCGATAAATCGGCTTTCGATTAGTTGGACCTGTTCACGGCTCCACACACGCAGCACTTCCTCCCCGCTGCCAGACATGCCCGCCCATCTGCATCCACACGCCGCACCTCCTCCCCACCTCACCGCTGCCAGACCCGCATCCACATGCCGCACGTCCTCCCTGCCTCACGCTCACCGCCCACCCACATCCTCGATCGGCATAGGTACATGGGGAGAAGTAAGGAGGAGCAGGCGTGGGGGGGAATGACAGCCGCCGACAGGCCCGATTTACACTGTATGTATAATGTATTGCTGGGATTTGTTGTATTCCTATATAGTTGGTGGTATTCTGCATTGCGCTGTATAGAGGACAACAAATCCCAGCAATAATACATTATACAGCACAGTGCAGAATACCACCAGCTGTAGAGGACTACAAAACCCAGCAATAGTACATTATACAGCACAGTGCAGAATACAGCCAGCTATAATGTATTGCTGGAATTTGTTGTATTCCTCTATAGCCGATGGTATTCTGCATCGTGCTGTATAAATGTACTATTGCTGAGATTTGTAGTCCTCTATAGCCGGTGCCATTCTGTATTGATTGCTGTATAATTTTACACTTTCCATTTCACTATATTGCACACTTTTTTTTTTTTTTACTTCCACCGCTCCAAGCTTGCTCCTGTGATGTACTACAATCTCAATACCAACTAGTAGTCCATCACTGGAGCCATTTTTTAACATCTCGATTAACCGAGCTCAATAACCAGCTAACTTAATTGATTTTGAAAATAATCGATAGCTGCAGCTCTACATGCAATACTATAGATATATATATATGTGAACCTTGCCTGAGAACTGGTTAAGAGCAGTTTCCATTCACCCCTGGAAGTAAACAAAAAAAACGTATTACTAGTTGCTGGAAAGCAGAGACCATGAGAAAAAGAGAAAACCCCCACCCTTTTCACTGCAGCATCAAATCAAACAGCTATATCAGTACACCCATTACACAAGGCAGTCACTAAAAGGAAAGAGTGATACTTGCAAACTCCCTTAAATAAATGATTACAGAACTAAGATCAGGTGTCACTGGGCTTCCCGAAGTACACTGAATTAAGGGCTCCCTCACCCGCATTGCTATTGGCCAGTAGGTTTTAACGACCATCAAGTAAAGAGCACCCTGCAGTCACTTACTGTTGCTCTACCACTTACTAGAAAGCTGGTTCATGGAAAACTGATGCCAGAAGGAGTGCCCTTGGCATCCACAGCCCAGTTCTAAGCCTCCGAATTTGACTGGTTGCTGACATGAATTAGCCACCAGCAAGTAGGGTGTAAAAAAAATTGTAAGCCAAGGGAAAAACCTGCCTAAAATGTCCATCATTTGGTTGGAATGGAGTACACATTTCATTTGCAAACACCAAAGGCCTAGTCAGCACCCTCCTTCTGTTTATTATTCAAAACAATTAAAAGGAACAATTTTATTTTGTAAGAAAATAACGTTTGACAAAAATTCCCAGTATAAATGGTAATAAGAAAGGATACTTAAATGTTGTCAATTACACTATACAAGCAAGCAAAAACTAGTAAACAGACCTTGAACAGCTCAGCAAACAAAATGATTTTTTTAAAAACATAACATTGCTGCTTATGGATTTAGAAGTGTTTAAGAGGATGTAAATTTTTCATGGTTATTCAAATAATCATGGTCAATGACAGCACAGTGCAAAATAATAGTAACAAACAAATCTGAGATCAAAAATATGTCTGTGTTGCTTACTTTTTCTGTTCCTGGAATTAATAAAATAGTTTTGATCACAGTACAGGAATCTGTGTTAATAATGGACAAGTCCATACCTCATCTTCCACTATATATTTGTAAACACATTTTAATAGTAATACAATCTGTACAGGGCCTTCTGTATTATTGTAAATGTGTACCAGCAGTAGGAATTCAAATAGTGATAAATATATGTATAAAAGAACTGGAATATTTGCAAGACACGTGAATAACATAAAAAGTCTTTGATTGCTATTTTCATCCAGAACTTTGCAAAAGAAGCTTGACTTTTTTGCCTTCAACAAGGATTTTTATTTTGCTTCTTGTGCTCTTCTTGTCTGCTTTTCTTTAGCCTAAAAAGAATTAAAAAACAGGCCCAGCGGCATAGTAAGACGCAACGCTATGAAAACACAAGGAAATGTTTATATGTACACAAAATATTACAGACATTATATGGTGCGATGGTTTTACATTTTTTTTGGTACATAATGAATACCATAGCATAATTCAGTTTTGCTACTGACCATGTGCATCTTTTTATGGTTATTAAAGTGGTGTAGGTAATAAAGTGATTACTAAGTTCATATCCCTGACACATTCTGCATTCACTCCCTTTTACAACTTGAGATGACTGATAACATTTACTATGCATCTTATAGAAGAACTATGGGTAAAGAAAATTACGCTTGCAGTGCTGCTACCCCTGCACTGCAAGGGTAAGTGTTTGTTTTGTCTGCTCTGACTATGGAATGTTCCTGGGCATCCCCAGGTCTATGAACTTAAATAAGACATGACAGACCACCAGAGCCCAGGGAAGAACAGGCTGCAGGGACTAGCAACCCGGAGGGAGCCAACGAGACCGAGGATCAGGTGAGGAAGGGTCGACCGATTATCAGATCCACCAATAATCAGGGCAGATATTCCCGAGTTTTTTAATGATTGGTATCGGATACATTAACTGATAATACAACACTGTGAATTGCAGCTGGTTCTTGAAGAACCGGACGAAATGCGCACAGTGGGTGCCACTGTCTGGCCGGCATCCCTCGATAAGCTGATCGAAGGAGCCGGTCAGAAAATCTATGTAGGAGAAGAGCTGGCAGCCAGTGAGCTGCAGGCTCTGTTCAGTACAGTAAAAACAGCAGATAGCAGGGGGAGCAATAGCTAGCCTGCTATTGGCTGTTTCAAATTGCAATAGCAGGCTGGGTATTGTACCCGCCCACTGCCTGCAGTCAATCAGCAAAAGAGCGGACCGGGGAGAGAATGCTCTCCTTCAGGTAACATAATATAAAAGTGGTAATTAAATACCACCAAAAGAAAGCTCTATCTGTCCCCCCAAAAAATGAATAAAAAAAATTATAAAACATTTGTTTCCTTTTGGCGTAGCATGGCTGAAACAATTGTTTTCTATGTGTTTCATTCAGACTACAAGGCAGTAGGCAGTGTGCTGTGATAATATGCAAAACATGCTGGACTTTACTGCATCGCACTTTATGCCACCGCAGGCCGCCACACAGCAGTGCACTGCTCTGCCATGCAGGGATAATTCATAAAAAGAGTGCACATTGTACACTATAGAATAAATTAAAAAAAAATAAATAAAATCCTTAAAAACAGTGACAGCTCCAGTAGTGTGTGATACAACAGTCTAGCCAGTCAACTGACGCACGGCATTTCAGCAGACAGCATAGTGTGAACGGGCCCTTAAAGTTTTGTTTGCACGAAGTTTAACTTGAATCAATTTGTTTATACTTGCTGCATTCCTGGTGATCATACCAGCAAAATAAATGTGCCGATCTTTCTAGGATCACAGCACTTAATTAAGCTCCATCACGGCACATACAGTTAAGGCCAAAAATATTGGCACCCCTGCAATTCTGTCAGATAATGCACCACTTTGCGCAGAAAATGGTTGCAATTACAAATGTTTAGGCATTCTCATGTTTATTTCTTTTGTTTGAATTGGTGACAAGTGGAGGAGAAAAAAAAAAAAAAAAAAAAGCCAAATCTGACATGCCACACAACTCCAAAAATGGACTGGACAAAATTATTGGCACCCTCAATTAATATTTGGTAGCACAGCCCTTGGAAAGAATAACCAAAATCAAATTGCTTCCTGTAACCATCAATGAGTTTCTTACACCTCTCTACAGACATTTTGGACCACTCTTCTTTCACCAACTGCTCCAGGTCTCTCAGATTTTCCCAACTGCTGTTTTGAGATCTCTCCACAGGTGCTCTATGGGATTCAGATCTGGACTCAGTGCTGGCCAGTCCAGTACTCTCCAGCGCTTTGTCTGAAACCATTTCTGGGTGCATTTTGACGTGTACTTTGGGTCATTGTCCTGCTGTCCCATGACCTCTGACGGAGACCCAACTTTCTGACACTGGGCTCTATAGCACCCCAGAATTTTTTGATAGTCTTCAGATTTCATAATACCATATACACAGTCACGACTTCCAATGCCTGACGCAGCAAAGCAACCCCAAAACATCAGTGAACCTCCACCATATTTGACTGGTGGGACTCCAAAAGGATTTTGGCTTCCTCGGGTAAGTTTTGGCAAACTCCAATCTGGCTTTTTTATGCTTCTGGGCAAGCACTGGGGTCCTCCTGGGTCTCCTACCATGGCGTCCCTTTTCATTCAGATGGTGACGTGTAGTGCAAGCTGACAGTTGTACCCAGTGCCTGAAGGTCAGCTTGAATTTGCCTGGAAGTAGATCGAGGGTCTTCATCCACCATTCGAACAATCCTTTGTTGCAATCTTTGATCAATTGTTCTTTCATCCACATCCAGGGAGATTAGCTACAGTGCCAGGGGCTGTAAACTTCTTGACAATGTTGCGCACAGTGGACACAGGAACATTATGATCTCTGGAGATGGACTTGTAACCTTGAGATTGTCCATGCTTTTCCACAAAAACCTGGAATGCAATTATTTCTTGCAATTTGAAGGTGCCAGTAATTTTGTCCAGTCCATTTTTGGAGTTTTGCGCGGAATGCGTCAGATTTGGCTTTTTTTCTCCACTTTTTTTGTCTCATACCAATACAAACAAAAGAAATAAACAGGAGAATGCCGAAACATTTGTAATTGCAACAATTTTTTGTGGTGCATTATCTGACAAATGCAGGGGTGCCAATATTTTTGGGCATGACCAAGTGTTAAACAAAAAAACAAAAAACATTCAGCCATCACATCTACAGACTGATAAACGGCATTATATTATATGTTCTTGGGTTTAGATACACTTTAAATGAGTAAATTCAGGCACACTTAACTGTAGGAAAATGCATGCTTAATGTGTTAAGGTAGGGGTGTGTGTGTGTGTGTGCGCACACACAAGGGGGCAGAGGCATGAGGGAAAGGAAGGAGAAAATACTACCTGGAATTAGGTGCAATTCCCTGTTTGTATTTAAATGTAGTTTAATTTGCTTAAAATGTGTAATTTGTACTTCTATGAAAACATGTAAAGTGTATATCTATTAATATATGTAAATCTGATATACACAAATACAGTAAATCCTTAACCATGTGCATGCTTTTGCATCCAAATTGGGATAAAACCTACTTTATATTTTTTTATATGTTCCCATTCACATTGCAGTAACAAAAAAACATTTAAAAATGCAACTTACTTAAAAACCTACCTAGCCTCCCTCCTATGTAATGCTAAAGTGACACTAAACTCAGGAGTTAATTCTTAAAAATGCATTCAAGTACCTTATTAACAAAAATGTAGCTTATTTGTGTATCACTCTAGATCCTCAAATCATCTCTGAACTTGTGATGACACTGTTCTTCCTTCTGGAGGGTGGCTACTTTTGTTCCTCATGGTCCCTGTGTGTGTTGTAAAGTAACAATCTCACGTTTAGTTTATTACTTTCTATTGAGATTGTAGTCTATCATAGGAGCGAGCTATAACACACATACAGGGACCATAGGGAACAAAAGAAGCAACCCTCCAGAAAGGACCGTGTCTGCACAAATTCAGAGATGATTTGAGGATCTACAGCCGAGTGATACACAAATAAGATACATTTTTGTTAAAGGAGAACTATGAGGTGAGTGCTTTTCACTCACCTCATAGTCCTAGCCAACCTGGGACAACGAGACTGTCACAGGTCGGCTCAGTAGATCGGGAGGTGAGCGAACACATACCGGGTTCGCTCGCCTCTCGATCCTGTCACGGCTCTCTGCTGTGACAGGGGGAGGGGCTGGATTCCCCGCTCCGATCTGCCAGCGCTGACTGGTGGAACGGATGGGGGAGGGTACAGCTGGCTCTGCCTCTAGATAGGCAGAGCCAGCTGTCACTCACGCAGCTGGGCGGATCCCGTCATCTAAGTCGTGATCCGCTGCGGGTAGCGGGAGGACGCTAGTTTGTGTCCTCCCGTTACCCTAAGGAGAACTATGGGGAAAAACACTGACCCCACAGTTCTCCTTTCATAGTTCAGGTACTTGAATGCTTCTTTTTTTTAAAGATTCAAGGCCTGAGTTTAGTGTCACTTTGAGGGGGCTGTGGATGTAATGTTTACTCTAATTAACCCTGCCGATACTGTGCTGGCAGATCTCTATTGGTTGTAAACTAGATTTTAACACTGTCTGTCCTAACAAAGGGTTAAAGATTTAGGAGCATTGTGTGTTAATGACCGGAAGCTCAGTCTGACCCTCAGTTTGTCCCTCTACTACCACTTTCAAACTGCTCAAAGTAGCTTGAAATCCAAGCAAAGGCCTTCACCAACAAAACATCTAAAATATACAAAATATATTTAAAAAATATATTTTTAGTTATGCGCTATGAATAGGAACACAATAAACATAGTAAGGTTTTCTCAAATTTGACTGCAAAAGTGGAAACACAGTAGTTTATGCGTGCTCATCTGCATTAAGGTCTAACTCCAGCAGTGCTTTTTCATCGTTAAGAAAGAGTTAAAGCTGTTCTAGCAACAAGGCAGCACAGGTATGGCAATTACATTAAGCAACATTTTGCAAAGTTGCAGTTTAACATATTGGGGCCCTTAGAAGGTGGACTACGCTCTTAATAGAGAAGACAACATCACTGACAGTGAATGGAAGAGGGTGTCCTGTGACAGACTAAAAACGAACACACAATAATAAAACTTTCATATTGAAAACTGAAAAATAGATTCTACATGGCTTGTTTGGTTCATAGCTTATATTCAAATCTTAAATTTGTGGTAGAAAAACCCTTAGTCAGCCTCCGCTTACCTTTTCTACTAGTGGTATTAACTGTTGGTGTTCTGCCAAAGTTTTTAATAACTCCATGATGAATGGAAGATAATTGTGTTTCCGCCTGATATTTTCAATCTGAAAACAGCAAATTGAAAAAAAAAAACAAAACGTTATTGTAATACACAAACACAAAATATATTGACATCTACATTTAAAACTACAGCTGGTCCTTTCCTACACTGAAAGAAAAGCTCTCTGCC